CCCCTCCCCCCCGCTAATTTCTGACAAATCCCTCATTCTGGACTTAATAATCAAAACGCCGACCAAAACGGCACTTAAAACGGCTTCTTCCTTTGGATTCTTACTCAGACTAAAAACTTTGTTGGTAGGAATCTAGTTTTATGCATCTTTTTATCGGATTTTTGAATTGATTTTTTACGTTTGTCATTCTTTCGGTTGAATAATCACCGTTTTGTTTTTTTTTTTTTGTTTTTTTTTTTTTTTTTGTTTTTGTTTTTTGTTTTTTGTTTTTGTTGAAATAGGTGTATAATAGTTGACGATAAACAAAAGGATGTTTTCATTAATCTTACTCTGCTTGTTTTTAGTTCAAGTGATAAGACAGTCAAGATATGGGATTCAGGATCGCGTCAAGTCATTCACACCTTCTACGAACACACAGACCAGGTACGTACTCCTTGCTAATCCTACCATACCACTTCCACTACCGGCAATCCATCCACGGTAATTTCCTCTACGTTAATGTACTTCCGGTAAGACACTTCTCGTCATAATAAAAAGTAAAGGTTTTSTTGCCCAATAGACCCTTTTCGAGTTCCAAATAGACCTTATTCGTGGCGTGACAATGTTTTCCCAATTCAGCGTGACGAACCTCCAGGGGATTMATTTTCCTTTGTTTTTACTCTTCAAAACATTTGTGAGTATCCCAAAGGATACGAAAGGAGTAACGATGATATCCCGACAAGTTTCCAAACAATAGCTGTTCATTCCCCTAGAGTTTTGTCATGTTCAATTAGGAAAACATTGTCACACCACGAATAAGGTCTATTACCGCTGTGTTCCTTGATTACAGACTCATTTACTCAGGCTTAGCCTCGATTTTTTGTAGAATATTCACGTGTTCCAGTCAAGGTCCGTCAAGTTTCATAGTGTTTGTATTGTTGAAGTTGTGCATTCTTTACTTTACCGTTGGTATTTGTGAATATTTTGACACTGATGCGAAGCTAAGCCTGAGTAAATGTAGACTCTTCCACAGTCTCTCGCTCGTCCGTTCCGTCTCCACGCTTAGAGACTGTAACGGTACAATGACCGAAAGGACTTGTGGGTCCCGAAAACTTGGACCCAGCGTGCTTTGGGAACCAAAATACTCGTCCACAGTCTCTCTCGTTTTCGCCGCCATCTTGAAAATATTGAAACGAGAGAAACTGTGGACGAGTAATCTCTAAGCGTGGAAACGGRACGGACGAGCGACAGACTGTGGAAGAGTCTAGAGTAAATGAGTCTGTAATCAAGGAACACAGCGGTAATTTGGAACTCGAAAAAGGTCTATTCTCCCTCATGTATAGTGTGCTCGAAGGTAGGTACGCCCTTTACCCCATCAAACTATCAGTGCACCTTATTATACTACTCTTCTTTTTGTTTGGATTTTATTGATGGATTATTTGATCGTTTGCAGGTATGGGGAGTCAAATACAACGCTACTGGTTCAAAGATAGTGTCCGTGTCCGATGACCGTAACATTATTGTGTATCAGTGTCCTATGTAATCTAACTCGAATGTTTCGTAATACCGTATCCATGTAAAACTATATTTCTCTATTATGAAAGAAAAGATTGAAAGCACTTCTCCTGTTGACTACACGACTTATTTGATTACTCGAACATCCTGTGGAAGCAGGTGTTCTAGTGGAATTTCAAAGTGTTGTTATCATAGATTGAAGTCCTCGATGTGGTTGGGAGAATTCTCGAGCAGGTGCAAACACTTGTCTACGACTCGTGTTTGCACTGATCTGCTCTCGAATTCTCCCATTCACATCTCGGTTTGCATTAGCGTGTGCAAACACAGTAAATGTATTTTATTTGTTAAATAAATATAAATAAATAAGTTCTATTAGTGACCTTTCTAAAATAGAAACGGTGCATTAGGTCAATGTTATTTTATGCAACCGAATACTTCAATTCCCTGGAGATTCGCTTTCTTTTTCAAAGTGTACGTTGGGATAGATTCGAAGATTTTTCTGGGTAGCTAGAATCTYGAACCAAAATGAGCACTCGAGATGAGTATCTTTTGGGCGATTTGTACATTCTGGAGTGAAATAAGAAAGAAATACAGCGTTGATTATTACGTTCGGAAAAAGAAAAGAGCGCATCTCATCTCATCTCATCTCATCTCATCTCGCCTCATCTCATCTCATCTCATCTCGCCTCATCTCATCCCATCCCATCCCATCGCAACGCAACGCACCACACCGCACCGCGCCGCGTCTCACCTCATCTCATCTCATCTCCATACTAACCTTTCAGTTCATTGTGTTTGGTATTGGGTATGCCGTTGTCCTGGTGTACTTGTATCGCCTTTGCAACAGCTTTAAGGAAAGCTGGACGGCGAACGTCATACAAAGTATCTCTACTTTCGTAGGATGTAACTCCTGAATGAGAACAACAATGAAAACCATCTAGTACCTACTGATAATTCCGTAGACTTTTCCAACCCCCCACCCACCCCCCACTCCTGCAAAAAAAAAAACATCTTGAATCGAAGGCTTGCATGGGTGAGGTAGTGGTTTACCTCTCGCCTCTCACCGCTGTGGTAAGGGTTCGAGCCTTAGTTTTCCCTTGCCACAAGGGTTTTCTGTTGTAAATATAGAATGTAGTGCGTGTGAGGGTGGAGGGAAACTCACGGAAGATCCCCGTACGTGGAGTGGTGGTTGTAGAATATTCGTTTTCTCACTGGACTCTGAAGATGACTTCCGCTAAGGTTGTCAAAACCTCAGTCACCACCAACAACAGTCTTTCTCAAGACTACACCCGGGCGATCACATTTCCGCGCAATGGGCTCCTGTTACCTACCTATATAGGCTTTATCGTTTTCCATAACAATACTTCCCTCTTTCTTGCCAGTCGGAGAGGCCAAATATAGAGTTACAGTCAGCTTCGGTTGTGGCAATACTCCTTTTTTATCAACTGTAATGCAAATAAGAAAGTACTAGTATTTTATAAACGTATTTCAGTTAATGAAAGATTTTATCAATTTTAAAACTTGTAATCATATGACAGTGGTATATAAATCGCTTTCCAACGCTCTGCACGATGTTACGCAATAATTCCAACAAGACATGTATGTGACGTTTATTGAAAGGGTGCCAATGGGCGTACCCAATTTAATTAATTGTCAGTTAACTACAGTACTAATTCTTCGGCCGAATGTCTGTTAAGTGTAATAATTTTACAAGCGCGTTATTTATCAGTTAACTACTTTTTTTTTTTTTTTTTTTTTTTTTTTTTTTTTTTTTTGTTAATTGTTAATTGTCAACTACTAACCACATTGGCACCCTCAATTTATACTGCTTCGTGCTCATTAATTATGCAGTGAGAACAGGGACAGCGACAGTGACAGTGACTGAGTGACAGTGACTGAGTGACAGTGACTGAGTGACAGTGACTGAGTGACAGTGACTGAGTGACAGTGACTGAGTGACAGTGA